ATGAACCTGGAGCGGCAGATAATTAAACACTCTGCCGGCCCCTTGGTGGTGGCGGGGGACTTCAACGCCAAAAATGTGGCGTGGGGTTCCCCGCGCACCGATTGGCGGGGCGGCGAGGTTTACGAGTGGGCGGCGCGAAGCAGACTCGACCTCCTTAACACAGGGAGGACAGAGACGTGTTGGAGGAGGCAGGGCGGGTCAATAGTCGACTTAACGTGGGCGACCCGCACTGCCAGAAGACTAATACACGGTTGGAGGGTGGAGACGGAGAAGGAAACAGATTCTGACCACAGATACATCACATTCTCCGTCTCCACCCTCACAAAGGAGGTCTTACAGCGCCGCCTACTCAGAGAGGCCGGCTCCAGGAGATGGGCCCTCAGAAAAATGGATGAGGATGCATTCCTGGCCGCGATAAACGCGGTCCTAATAGTGGACAGTTCCCAAAGGGAAGGTCCAGAGGAACAAAGGGCATGGCTGCAAAATGTTATAACACAGGCATGCGACGTAGCCATGCCCCGAGTGAAGAATAGGCCTAAAAAACAGGCATATTGGTGGTCGCAGGATATTGCAGAACTGAGGCGATCCTGTGACCAAGCAAGAAGGAAAATCCACAGGAGGAAAAGGCACGCGCTGTTAGATCCGGAAGGCCTGGAGGACGCGTGGGATGCGTACAGAGAAGCACGCTGCATCCTACGCGCCTCCATAAGGCAGGCGAAGGCAAAGGCATGGGAGGAACTGCTCTCCTCTCTGGACAGGGATCCGTGGGGTCGTCCCTATAAAATGGTTTTAAATAAACTCAAGGGAGGGACGGCCCCTCAAACGGAAACCATGGATCCCCATCTCGTAAAAGAAGTAATCGACACCCTGTTCCCGCGAATTGATAGTCATCAAATTCAGAAGCGGGAGCAGGAGTGGAACGAGGAAGAGATGGGGGTCACGAGAGGAGAGTTAAGGGACGCCGTCAGGAAAATTAAAAGGGGGAAAGCCCCCGGACCTGACGGCGTCCACGGGAAGGCATGGGCCCTTGCCTTCAAGGATCTAGCGGAGCCCATGAGGCACTTGTATAACGAGTGCCTCAAAACGGGCTCCTTTCCCCGGGTGTGGAAGAAGGCAAATGTAGTCCTTCTTCCGAAGGAGGGCAAACCAAGGGAGTTGCCCTCGGCGTATAGACCGATTTGTCTGCTGGACGAGGCGGGAAAAATCCTAGAAAGGATCATCGCAGACTGCCTCGTCCACCACCTGTCTCGGAGTGGTCCGCAGTTGGATGACAAACAATACGGCTTCCGGGCCGGGCGATCGACGGTAGACGCAATATTGCGGGTTCGCTCGGTCGCGGAGGCCGTAACGAGGGAAGGCGGGGTGCTGTTGGCGGTATCGCTCGATATATCAAATGCCTTCAACACCCTGCCGTGGCACCGGGTGGGGGAGGCCCTGCAATACCACAGGGTCCCCCCATACCTGGTGTCGGTCTTAGCGGACTACTTCCGGGATAGACAGTTGGTCTATATGGACAGAAACGCCGAGGAGCAGAGCAGGGAGATGTCGTGTGGGGTTCCGCAAGGCTCGGTCCTGGGACCATTGATGTGGAACCTTGCGTACAACATCGCCCTGCGGGTTGCCCTCCCCCCCGGCTGTCAGGCAATATGCTATGCTGACGATACCCTGATATTGGCCGGGGGAGACACCTGGGGAGAAGCGCAGGGACGTGCCAACCTGGCAGTGGCGCGCGTGGTGCGGACGATTAAAGATATTGGGTTGAGGGTGGCGCCCCAAAAGACGGAAGCTATCTTTTTTCACAATAAAAGAATAGGGGCGCAACTCAAAACCACAATAATGGTGGAAAACACCCCCGTAGAGGTGGGTACCCAGATGAAATATCTGGGTCTCCACCTGGATGGTAAATGGACGTTTGGCGAGCACTTTCGTCGGATAACCCCGAGAGTGGAAAGGGCCGCGATGGCCCTATGTCGGCTTTTGCCGAATCTCGGGGGGCCCAACGAAAGGGTTCGCCGATTATATGCCGGAACTGTCCATGCTATGCTGATGTACGGAGCCCCCGTATGGGCGGAGAAACTGGGGGCGACCCGCAAGCTGCAGGACTCACTGCACCAGCTACAAAGGCGGGTCGCCAACAGAGTTTGCAGGGGGTTCCGTACGGTCAGCTGGACGGCAGCCGGAGTGATCTCCGGGGTGCCCCCCGTCGAATTGCTAGCCCGAATGTACACCAAGGTGTACAAACGTACACGCGGGCTGCAAAGGGGGGGCACCATAATGACGGACAGTATCCGACGTAACCTGAGGGTCCATACCCGGCGGTGCCTAATAAAAGAATGGTCCGAGGGACTGGAAAACCCAATCTTCCCGGACAGCGCACCGTCGGGGCCATCCAGCCCTGCCTGGAACAATGGCTAGGCAGGGCAAACGGGGGTGTGACATACCGCATGACTCAGGTGCTCACCGGGCATGGGTGCTTCGGTGAGTACCTGAGACGCATAGGCAAGGAACGCACCACGCGCTGCCACCATTGCGGCCACCATCGGGACACCGCCCAGCACACACTTGAGGACTGTGTTGCCTGGGCGGGAGAACAAATGGAGTTGATGGCCGCAGTGGGCAGAGACCTGAGGCTCCCCGTGATCGTAAAAAAGATCACGGAGAGCGAAGAAGCATGGAGGGCCTTCTCCTCCTTCTGCGAAAAAGTGCTACGGCAGAAGGAGGAGAAGGAGCGGGATAGAGAGAAGAAGGGAGAGAGAGCAAGGGAATGGGAGGAGGGAGTGGCTGAGGACAGTGAAGAGGAGGAGGAAGACCAGCGAGCGGATGGGAGTGTGCCCCCTCTTTCCCCGGCACCGGCGGCCTTAGCCGTTTGTGATGTCAGGGATCGGGGGGAGTGCGCCTCCGATGCTAGGGGAAGAAGCGGCAACGTGGAGGAGGAGGGTGACATGCCCTGCCCTCCCCCGCCGTCGGTGGGTTGGTTCGCCGGTGGTGGGGCTCGGGCGTGTCGCCTCGCATAGGCGGGGGTCGGCGCGTCTGCGCCCTCGAACGGGAAACCCCCTCGGCTGTGGCCGAATCCTAACTCCCACGGGAGCGGAGGAAGCCGCAGCTGGGGGGGCCGAGGGGGGGCCACGTGTCCCGGCGGGCAGGCATTGCCAGTCCGGCCGGGGCGCCTTGGGTCCCCCTCTGTGAAGACGTGACGCGCGGGGGCCCTCTCACCGGGAGCCATAAGGCACCGGTGGGAGGGCAAAACCGTCCACGGAGGAGGCTCCTCTCCTCCTGAGAGGAACCTCCTGGTGAGGGCTCCCCTGATGGAACGCCAAACCGGATCACCCTCTAGGGGATCCGGGGGATGCGTCCACCAGGGGGCGGGGGGCGATGGCTCGAGCGGGAGCTCTCGAGCCATGGCCCCGCCCCCCAAACTCTTTGGGAGGGCGCGGTGTGGGGTTGGTGTTGCCTCGCACCGCAACCGCGAAGAAACTGCACAGTCATTGACTGTGCGGTCAAGGAGGGGTCTCGGCCGCAAGGTTGAGGCAGCTCCCCGGAGACGGCTTGGCGGGGGGGCGGCGAGACGGCATAGGAAACTAGCATCCTCGCCGTCCCCCATCCAACGCCCGGGATGAACACTCGCTGGGGTTTTAGTGAGGTAGGACTTGGGCCCCCTGGTCGAACCATTCGTGACTCGGTCAAGGGGAACAAGGAGTCCCACATAACCCGCACCTCTACCCGGGGGTGCGTGGCACCATGACGGTTTCCCCAGCGTCAAAAAAAAAAAAAAAGGTCGCAAAAACGTCATGTCCGAGGATACGAGCCGATTTGACGACTGTAAATTAACCAACATAAAAATCTATCTGAGCTCGGAATGTTATCCGTACGACGATATGAATCTGGATTTTAAGAGAAACAGATGGTCGATTCTGTACGACACGTATGCGCGTTTCTGCAAAAATAATTACGGATACGAGTATCTCGAGCCGAATCTCACCGTCACGTCGTTTCGGTCATTCTGGTCCGTTTGTGATTATCGATTGTTCTTGACAAAACGAATCGGTTGAGAGCGCAACGGTGGATTCAAGATTAGAGTTTGAGCCTAATATAAATATGCCTAACAATACCATAGCATATTGTCTTATCATGCACGATCGCGTGATCCAGTACAACCCGTTGATCAACGTTGTGCGCAAAATTACCTTTTTTTTTTTGACGCTGAGCAAACCGTCATGGTACCACGCACCTCCGGGTAGAGGTGCGGGTTATGTGGGACTCCTTGTTTCCCTTGATCGAGCTACTCGTGGCTCGACCAGGGGGCCCAAGACCTACCGCACTAAAAACCCTAGCGAGTGTCCTTCCCGGGCGTTGGATGGGGGGTGCCGAGGATGCTGGTTACCCATGCCGTCTCGGAAACCACTCCCCCGCTAATTAATCTCCGGGGAGCTGCCTCGACCTTACGGCCGAGACCCCTCCCTGACCGCGCAGTCAATGACTGCGCGGTTCCCTCGCGGTTGCGGCACGGGGCGACACCGACCCCATGCCGCGCCCTCCCAAGGAGTTTGGGGGGCGGGGCCATGGCTCGAGAGCTCCCGCTCGAGCCATCGCCCCTCGCTCCCCCGGTGGGCGCATTCCCCGGATCCCCGAGAGGGTGATCCGGTTCGGCGTTCCACCAGGAAAGCCCTCACCGGGCAGTTCCTCTCTGAGGGAGAGAAACCCCCCTCCGTGGACGACGTTGCCCTCCCACCGGTGCCGTTTGGCTCCCGGTGAGAGGGCCCCGTGCGTCACGTCTACGTCCTTGAGAGGGACCCAGGCGCCCCAAGCGGGAGGGCAATGCCCGCCCGGCTCCCTCCGCTTCCATGGGAGTTAGGATTCGGCCGCAAACTAGGGGGGGTTTCCCTTTGGCGGGAGAAACCGGCCGACCAGAGTCGCCCGGCCCCGCCGCCAATTTTCTTGAGGTCTCCGGGGGGGGGGAGAAGCCATGGGACTTATGTGTCCCCGGCACCCCCTCGGAGATCTCATCCTGCATCTATGTCAGATGCAGATATGATGGGCGCATGCCCCCCCCAGCCCCCGACGCCCCCGCCGGACAAATGATTGTCCGCGGCGGGTGCCAAGAAAAGAGGGGGCACACCCCCATCTGTGTGTTGGTTGCTCTCCTTCTCCTCATCGTTGTTGTTGTCCACAACTTCTCCTTCCTCCCACTCTCTTCTTTTCTCTCCCTCCCTCTCTCTGTCTCTCTTCTTCTCCTTTTGCTGCATTACTCTTTCACAGTAGGAAGAGAAGGATTTCCACGCCTTTTTACTCCCAGCAATCTTTTGCACTATTGCTGGGAGTGACAAGTCCCTCCCGATTGTGGCCACCAACTCCACTCGTTCTCCCGCCCAAGCAACACAGTTTTCGAGTGTGTGCTGGGCGGTGTCCCACTGGTAGCCACAATGATGGCAGCGTGTGGTGCGTTCTTTGCCAATTCTATTCAGGTACTCACCGAAACATCCGTGCCCGGTGAGCACCTGAGTCATACGGTATGTGACACCTCTATTAGCCCTGCCCAACCTTTGTTCTAGGCAGGGCTTGATGGCCCCGACGGTGCGCTGTCGAGGAAGACTGGGATTCTCCAGTTTCCTGGACCAGTCTTCTATTAGGCGCCGCCGGGTGTGAACTCTCAAGTTACGCCGGATACTGTCCGTTACGATGATCCCCTCTTTTTGTAGCCCGCACATACGTTTGTACACTTCCGTGTACATGCGGGCTAACAATTCTATTGGGGGTACTCCGGAGAGTACCCCAGCTGCCGTCCAGCTTACTGTACGGAACCCCCTACATATTCTGTTGGCGACCCTTCTCTGCAGTTGATGCAGAGAGTCTTTGAGTTTTCGGGTCGCCTCCAGCTTTTCCGCCCATACGGGGGCTCCGTACATGATCATCGCATGAACAGTTCCGGCGTAAAGTCGGCGAACCCTCTCGTCGGGTCCCCCGAGGTTCGGCAATAGCCGACATAAGGCCATCGCGGCCCTGTCCACCTTTGGGGTTATTCGGCGAAAGTGCTCGCCGAATGTCCACTTGCCATTCAGGTGGAAACCCAAGTATTTTATTTGGGTCCCCACCTCTATGGGGGTGTTTTCCACCGTTATCGTGGTCTTCGGTGGCGCCCCTATTTTCCTTTTATGGAAAAAGACAGCTTCTATCTTTTGAGGCGCCACCTTAACCCGATATCTTTTATAGTTCGCACCACACGCGCCACAGCGAGATTGGCACGTCTTACCGCTTCTCCCCAGATGTCTCCCCCGGCTAATATCAGAGTATCATCTGCATAGCAGATTGCCTAACAGCCGGGGGGGGGGAGGGGGAAGGGCAGTCCTTAGGGTGATGTTGTACGCCAAGTTCCACATCAGTGGTCCCAACACGGAGCCTTGCGGAACCCCGCACATCTCCCTACATTGCTCCTCGGCGTTCCTATCTACATAGGCCAATTGCCTGTCCCGAAAGTAGTTTGCTACTATCGACACCAAGTATGGGGGGACCCTGTGATATTGCAGGGCCTCCCCCACCCGGTGCCACGGCAGGGTGTTGAAGGCATTCAATATATCTAGAGATACCGTTAACAACACCCCGCCCTCCCTCGTTACGGCCTGCGAAACCGAGCGAACTTGCGATATTGCATCAACTGTTGATCGCCCGGCCCGGAAGCCGTATTGTCTTTCGTTTAAATTCGGACCCTCCCGGGACAGATGGTGGACGAGGCGAGCCGCGATTACTCTTTCGAGTATTTTTCCCGCCTCGTCCAGCAGGCATATAGGCCTGTACGCCGAGGGCGGTTCCTTGTGTTTGCCCTCCTTAGGAATCAGAACGATTGATGCCTTCTTCCATACCTGGGGAAAGGTGCCCGTCCTGAGACACTCATTATATAGGTGCCTCATGGGCTCTGCAAGCTCTTTATAGGCGAGGGCCCATAATTTTCCATGGATGCCGTCAGGTCCTTTTTTTTTTTTTTGACGCTGGGGAAACCGTCATGGTACCACGCACCCCCGAGTAGAGGTGCGGGTTATGTGGGACTTCTTGTTCCCCTTGACCGAGCCACGAATGGTTCGACTAGGGGGCCCAAGTCCTACCTTACTAAAACCCCAGCGGGTGTTCATCCCGGACGTTGGATGGGGGACGGCGAGGATGCCAGTTTCCTATGCCGTTCCGCCGCTCCCCCATGCCGTCAGGTCCTGGGGCTTTCCCCTTCTTGATTTTCCTGACGGCATCCCGGATCTCTCCTCTCGTGACCCCCATTTCTGTCTCATCCCACTCCTGTTCCCTCGTTTGTATAGGGTTTGTTGTGTCATCCCCTTGAGGGAATAGGGCGCTGATTATATTTTGAACAGGGGTCTAGTGACTCCGTTATTGGTGCCATTCTTCCTTTCAGTTTATTTAATACTATTTTGTAGGGACGGCCCTACGGGTCCTCATCCAGGGAAGAGATTAACTCTTCCTAGGCCCTCGCCTTCGCCTTCGCTTTGCGGATGGAGGCGCGCAGGGCGTTTCTTCTATTTCGATATGCGTTCCACGCGTCCTCCAATCCTTCGGGATCTGATAGCGCGTGCCTCTGCCTCCTTTTAACATTCATCCTGGCCTGGTCGGAAGACCGCCGCAATTCGGCAATGTCCTCCGACCACCAGTACGCATGTTTAAGAGACCGGGTTTTAACTCTGGGCATGGCGACATCGCTGGCTTGTTGCATCACGTTATTCAGCCATGCCCTATGTGCTTCCAAATCCCCGGTCTCCCCCTCCTTTATTAAAAGCGCAGCATTTATTGCTGCCATAAATATGTCCTTGTCGAGCTTCCTGAGGGCCCATCTTTTGGAGCTGGCCTCTATCATCCGGCGGCGCTCCGCGACCTTTTTTGTTGTGGTGACGACAGAGATCTCTATATACCTATGATCCGATAGTGTTTCTATCTCTGTCGCCACCCTCCAACTCCGTGCCATCCTAATTGCAGAGCGGGTCATCCATGTAAGGTCTACCCGCCCCGCATACGCACACACGTGTTCTTGCGTCCTTCGTTTAGGAGTATAAGGTCGCATTGCGCCGCCCAATCACTGACTTCGCCCCCCCGCCAGTTGGTGCGCGGGGAACCCCATGCCGCTGATTTGGCATTAAAGTCTCCCGCTATTATTATCAGACGGGGGTGGTGCTTCGCGATCTGCCGCTCCAGAGTCCTGAGTCTCCCGCCAAATCTCTATTTTCTAAGCTTGGCGGGATATATATATCTATTACTACGAAAGGCCCCCAGGAAGCTACTACAAATCCCCTCCCCGCTTCGATAATATCTAGGGGAGGGGAGTCGCGCATGTTCCTTCTGATGATTGCGGCGGAGCCGTCTATACTTTTGACCCAGTTTCGTCTATCTGGTATCCTATACGGCTCCGCCACAATTCCAAGGCCACAGGACCTTTCTGCCATGGTATGAATAAAAAGGTCCTGAGCGTCCCTCACGTGATTAAGGTTGGCTTGCAATATTTTATTTGCCATCCTTAATCACCGTTTCCTCTCTTCCTTCTGCCACTACCTCCATGGCATTTTTGTCTTCCTCTTCCAGTTCCTCCTTAAGACGCTACCTCTTGCCAGTCCCCTGTCCGGGGTTGTTTCCTTCTTCCTCTTTTCCCGTCTTTTTCTTTTCTCTTGTCCTGGGGGACTCTCTGCTCTTTGGGCTGTTCCCAGGTTCCTCCAGGACGGGCGTCATTTTTTATTTCCATCTCCATAGGTGTGGTCTCCTGTTTTTTTTGAGATCCTACTACCACTTTATTTAGTGGGATCCCTCTTCTGCCTTTTTGTACAGGTGTGCAGGCCTTCCCCCCCGTCCTATGGTTCGCGGGAAGGTTCATGTTGCTGCACACCGCACAATGTACTGGGGCCACGCATGTTTTGGCCTCGTGGCCTTCCTGACCGCAGCGATAGCATTTACCGCTGCGGTCAGTTTTATTCGAGCAGCGTGCCCTGACATGGCCACCTTCCAGGCACTTATAGCACTGGAGGGGGCAGTTTTCAAGGAGTTCCACCTTTGCCGATCCAAATCTGTATTTTGGCCTTTTTGGGCACTATATTTGCCGATTTTATTGGGCACCTGATCCACGTCATCTTAACTCCGTTGGCGCTACTTTGATTTTGCCCACATTCACTTCCTCTTCCTTGCAGTTGCCATCTTTGGCAATGGCTTCCTTGACTTCTGAGGAGGTGACTGATTCGTCCAATTCCCTCACTCTAAGTTCGGCCGTCTTCGTGGGGCGCTGGACTCTGACTCCCTCTTTCCCGACGAGAACTTGTTTGAGCTTGAGAGCTAGCGTGTCCGCTAGCTCGTTGCTATTTTTGCCAGGGACTTCATATATGAGGGCCCCGGTTATAGTTCTTCGGATCTTTACTCCCTCGTTGATTCCGAGGCCTTTCAGGTTTTCTAGGCCTATCTTTCGGCGTGTCTCCGTCATCACCTCCTCGTATTTTCTTGGGGAGCAGGTGATAGTTACGGCCGCTATTTTAGGCTCCCTCCACTTTTTGAGGGGTCCCGACTGCTGCCTTTTATTTTGGGTGGCAGCAGGAGTGGGGGCTCCGGCTCCCTGCGTTGGAGATCGGTCTTTGCCCTTCATTTTCTTTGCCTCCCTTCTCGACACAACTGTTGACCATGTTTGATCTTGTTGTTGTGTCTGTGGGGCTGGCTCCTTCCCTTGGAGTTTATCTCCCTTATTTACATTCTCCTTATTTTCCCCTGTTGTCTTTTTGCTCTTAGACATTTGGGGAAGTTTTATGAAGACCTTCTCTATTTTTTTGATCCTGGGCAGAGCGGGTCTTGCCGGTGGATTCAAGGTCGTTGTCGAGGTGTTTTCTACCTTCTTTGTTGACCTTGCCTTTTCTTTTTGAGATGCTACCGGTGGAGGGAGTGTTTTGGTTGTATTAACCCCTCCCGTTTTGCCTTTCTTCATCTCTTTTTGCGCTTTCTCGGCTTCCTTCTTCTGACTGTAGCTGGGAATTGGGTTGCCCAGCTTCTTGTCTATTAGGCGCTCGCATATGCTTTCCATCATAGCAATAAGGGCATCTTGTTTTTGTCTTTTTTCGCTTCTCTCTTGAGAGAGTTGTTCGGAAATTTCGACTATCCTTCCTCTCTGTTGTACTTGAGGAATCGAGGCTCGTATTTTCTTCTTACCTTTCCCCTGTTTCCTTTCTCCAAGAGGAGGGAATTCTTCTTCCTCAAAGATTTCCGACTTCCAAATTTCCACATCCATTTCCTCTGGTTCTGGAGCTTTTGGGGGGACCTTATCTGTGGATAGAGGCGTCTCTCCATCAGTTTTCTTCCCTCGGGTTTTGAAGAGCGATGGAAGTGGAGTTTCGACGATTGGGTTTATCTCAATCGCCGAGGTTCCCCCATCTTCCAGTGGAGGCAAGTTTTCCTTGACCCACCTCTCCGTCCTTTTTCCCCTTTCCTGGAATAGGGAGAGATCTAGTGTCTCCCAGAGCGGTCCCCGGGGAATCTATTCCATCGACAGTTTTCCTCCTTGGTCGCTTTGTTTGCTTGTCGATTCTACGCAATTGTGCATTTTCCATTCTTAGGAGATGCATTTGGTGCCTTAACTCCTTTATTTGTTCCGTCACCTGCGTCTCCTGTGGGTTCTGGGCCTTTATTGCCAAGACCATTGCGGCTGCGCACATGTCGGCCGCCGCGTTTTTTGCCAGTTTCACCAGGGTTTCTTTCATGTTCCCCGATTGCGCAGCCACTTTATAGATGTCTGTGCTTTTTTCGGAGATCATGGCTTCTAAATCCATTACCGGTGCATTCTTGTACTCCTCTTCCTTGTCCTTTATCCTCTCCAGGAATTCCTTATACGATTTTTTTAGCGCCGGTTTTATGAGAGGGTCTATTATGTTTCTCTCTTTTTGGATGTTCTTCTCTTCTTCCTTTTTATGTCGCTTTTCTTTAACGATCCTGTGTCCTCTTGTGGTTTCAGGCTGGCCTTGTTTTCTCTTTTCCTCGATAGTAGGAATTATATCCTCTTTTTGTGCGTCTACGTCATGCACTGATTGTGACAGTTCCTGCTGTGGCGGTTCCTGCTGTTGTTGCAGCATGTTTCCTTGTCTTTCAATCTCGAGATCTATGTCCCTCGAGAATTTTCTAAAAACAGGGAGATCCGCCCTCTCTGTTTTAATGCTGACTTGGTCAAGATCATAGTCATATTCAGTTTCCAATCTCGATCTTGATGCGCGCCATGTTTTTGACGGGCTCCTTGATCTATTGACCGTCGTTCCTACCGCGGGCAATATATTCGCTGCCCTTCTTGTTCTGGTTCCAATCCATGAACCTTCGGATGAAAGCGCACTCGTGTCTGATATTGAGTAAGTGTCCACCCTTGAAAGTCTAATTTGGAGATCTCTTGTGATCTCCCTGGACTTTTCCATTGCCGAGAATGCTTCTCTGGCTATGCTTTTTTCGACCTGTACTTTCTGCTCTTCTGCAGATTCTTTCGCCTTACTTTCTTTTTTGATGTGGGTTTTTTGTCTCGTTTCCATTTCTGTTTATTCCACTATCCCGCTGCGGCTCCATCCCCCAGGGTATACCCCCACCGGCCAAGAGGTGCCCCGAAACATGACCGGCCACACCCAAAGGCCGGGCCCCAAGTTTTCCTGGGGAGGGGACATATGTCTTAGGCCGGGGGGATACCACACCCCGGCCAAACTCCGAGCCCCTTACACACCCGTGTGAGGTTTGACGCCCACACGGGCTTTCAGGGGTCCCGCACCTCCGACAATGCGGGCACCGCAGCGGGTGGCGCCACCCGGGGGGCCCCACGGACGCTTTGGACAGGGTCGCCGCTCCCCGGCCCTGCCCTACACGCCGTGGCGACCAGCATACCGTGTCGCCCCTCGTCGAAGACGTTTAACGAGGGGCA